TATATATATATATATATATATATATATATATATATATATATAGTCTCTTCTGTCTTCTCCCAGTCCGACTAGCTGATACAGATGGATGACCTGCATGAGTCTGGTTCTGCTAACGAGCCCCTAAAGTTTGCTCAGCATGAAAAACTGCATCAGAATAAACATTTGTTTCAATTCCCTGTTTTTCCTCCATAATACAAGTGTTTGTGAACTGACATGTTAATGTAAATTTTAGATTTATAAACTGGTTTGGACAAATTGAACTCAGGCATATTCAAATTAAATTGAACTAAACAGGTATTTAATTGGATTAAGCTGGACAGTATTTAACTAAAGACATTAACATTTAAAGTGAAATGGGCTAAATTTAAGACCCCCAACATAATGGTCACACTGATGATGACTTTGAAATGAAATGACAATGAAAGATAAATTCTGTCAGCATGTGAATGATCTTTGCAGGTTTTTGTGAGGTCGCAGATAGATAGATAGATAGATAGATAGATAGATAGATAGATAGATAGATAGATAGATAGATAGATAGATAGATAGATAGATAGATAGATAGATAGATATTCATAAAGAAATACATAAAAAAATAAAAATAAAAAAAATACATAAATGAATTATGTTTAAGAAAATGAGTCATTTGCTAAAAATATAGGAGAGTGTTCTTCTATATTTAGGAGTTCTTTAAAGACAAATTTTTAAGTCGTCAAACTGACCACTGTGTATTATGCAGATATTTTCTTATGTTAATATGGTTCAAATGGCTGGGAAAGAAAGGAAAAAAAATAATAAAAATTATATATATATATATATATATATATATATATATATATATTTTGTGGCTCAAACCAAATCACATTTATTTATTTAGCCCGTTTAAAACAACTGTTGTTGGCCAAAGACTAAACTAAACTAAACAAACAAACAAAAGCACAATAGTTTTACAACAAAAGTTTAAAAAAATTAAAACAAGACAAAATCCAAAATAAAATTAAAATATAGTTCATAAAATATAAATTGTCATGCTGTATGTGAGTACAACTACAACTGTGAGTTGAAGGAGCAGCTGGTTCCATCCAAACCATTACAGAGAGACATCCTGGCTTCTTAATTGTAGGTAACTCACTTTGCCCTCATAAAGTTATTGGTTATTAGTTTTATGTTAACAATACACACTCTGAAGTGTATGAAATCCTTTTTAATGAGTCCAGACTATGAAAAAACAGGAAAACTCATAATCTGATGTGGTAAATATCTTGTTTCTCTAAATGCAGATGAGTTTGATGTTCCTAACCCAAAAGAGCACACCAGAAAACATTTTGTTTCTGACAATATTTTGAAAGGAATAAACATGTAAATATGATTTATACAGAGAAAATAATAATCATACAGTATATAACTGATGACTGTCACTCATTAGTATATACATTAGTATTACATTAGTATTACATTAGTATATACATTAGTATATACATTAGTATTACATTAGTATTACATTAGTATATACATTAGTATATACATTAGTATGTACATTTGGACTGAAAAATACCTACAATCAAGCAATTTTTCACACTTCACAGAAAGTTGCATAGGGAAGGCTCACTTGTCAATCAGTTTGTTTAAAACAGCTTTATTCAGTAATTTTAGGTGACATTTGTCATTAAAACACAATTGATGTGATGCAGTGCAGGGATGTAAATTAAAACGGCAAAATGGTTTTAAACTGGTTTTGAAATTTGCTCAGCAATGTCAAACTTTAATTAGTATAACTTAAACAGCTGTTCTTATTTATAGTCATTATTACTGACAACGGCAGCACGGTGGCGCAACTGGTAGAGCTGCTGCCTCTCAGCGAGAAGGTTGTCGTTTCAAATCCCGGTCCAGGGGCCTTTCTGGGTGGAGTTTGCATGTTCTCTCCGTGCATGCGTGGGTTTTCTTCGGGTGCTCCGGTTTCCTCCCGCAGACCAAAAACATGCATGTTAGGCTGATTGGTAACTCTAACTCTAGATTGTCCCTGGGTGTGAGTGAGAGAGTGAATGGTTGTTTGTCTCGTTTGTCTCTATGTGTCCCTGTGATGGACTTGCGACCTGTCCAGGGTGTGTCCCGCCCCTCGCACAGTGATTGCTGGACATGGGCACTGGCGACCCCCGTGACCCACAATGGAAGAAGCGGGTAAAAGATAATGGATGGATTACTAACAACAGCAACAAACACAAAATTATATTTGAACAGCATATGCTAAAAATATCTGTGGAAAAAATATTTTTACTGGATTTTTACAAAATGATCAGACATGAATTTGAAACATAACTACATCTGTAAATTGACTTTCAGTATTTAAACACGTACCCAGGTAAACAGTAACATCTCGATTTAGTGATTTTCAAAATAAATGAGAACACAGACAATTGTTTACTCGTCATTATTTATGTACCAGTTGATCCAGTCAACGTACTGCCTCACTTTGGTGTAGACTCCTGGGTAGAAAGCGTTTGCACAGCCGATGCCCCAGGACACGATGCCCTCAAGGCAGCCGTTGCAGACAAGTGGACCACCGGAGTCGCCCTGTGGAACCACAGAGAAAAAAACGAGACAAACTTTTTTCACTTCACTGCACAGAAAATATCTTCAGCAACTAAAACATTACCTAAAAACTTTATTTTAAAAAGGTTTTCACATCTAAAATTGGTGACATTCTGAACATTATCAAGGCGAACATCTTCATTTTGTTATTAAATGTTTCTGCAGCAGTTGGATGGACACCACGGACGATCCCAGAATACGGTCACTAAAGTATCTTTTACCAGGGGTTCCCAAACTTTTTCATGCCATGGACCCCCCAAACAGCATCTTCTGGCCAAGGCACCCATCGCAAACCCACAAATGCTACAAAGTATGTAAAGAAACATCAACTTTTAGAATGTTTTAACTTTTATTCACTGTATTCTATTAATTATTACAGCTGCTGAGCATGAACATGTTATTAACTAACATGTTTAAAACAGTTTTATATTCCCACTAAAAACAGATTGCCCTAGTGGGCAATTTTTATTAATATTATTTCTATATTTTACTATTGCTTTTTTAAATCTTCTTCTCTCCAGCTTTCTGGGGCCCTCCCGGTGGCTCCCCAGGGGGCCGCAGCCCCCACTTTGAAAAAAACAGTTTTACACAGCAAGCAAAACAAATCCATTCGTTTGAATTTATTTCTGATAGTCAGCAAATGTGAGCATAACAGTTTTAGAAATGCCATTGTGTGCAAAAATGCTTCTACAGTTCCATGTGTACAGCAATAAAACAGTTATCATTGCAATATGAAATTACACAGACAACAACTAAATCCATAACAGTATTGCATGCATTTGTACCTGGCAGGCATCTTTGCCACCAAACATGGATCCAGCACAGATCATGTTGGGAGTGATCCTGCCCCAGTAGTACATGTTGCAGTTAGACATTTCTCTCACATCCACAGCCCGCAGAGCATTGGACAGCACAGAAGTGTACACCTGTGTCACGCCCCAGCCGCTTACTGTGCAGACATCCCCCCGTAGTGGAGGAGTGTTTCTATCAGGCAGGGTAACTGGCTGGACGTTGGCGTTCAGCTGTGCTGGCTCACTCAGCTGCAAGACAAAGACGGAGCCTCAACAAAGAGACGCGGAGCTAAAACTACCATCACTGCTCTGCTGAGTTCAAGTACGAGCAATGGATGAACATGCGGTCTCTTCTATTCTGCTGACCTTGATGAGCATGATGTCGTTGTTGTAGTTCCAGTAGGTGTAAAAAGGATAAATATATAACTTTGACACGTTGAAGACCTGCTCGAAGCCTTCCGTTTCCTCCAGGTTGTGCTCACTCAGCACCACCTTCATATACTGGCTCCTGAGAGTCCAAAACAAAACAAGCTGCATTCTTTTGACAGTAAAAGTCATGTTTACATAAATGTCCGCAGGTCAGGGGTCAGTACTTACGGCCTCCAGCAGTGTGCAGCAGACACCACCCACTGGGCATCCACCAAGGTTCCTCCACAGTAATGCCTCCTGGTTTCTGTTTGCACTGAAGCCTGATATTTGATTGAATATTTCTCGACCTCCTGACCCCCAATGATCCGCTGTGCACGAGTCTCTGTTAAGAGGACTTGAAGTATTAGCTGCATGCTTTCATTTGTTTAAAGAAAAACAACAAATCAAGACAATTCAGTTTATGTCTCTCCAAAAATGTTAGAATATAAAAGCAGTGTTTTTGTAACAAAAGACATTAAAATGTTTTTCTGCTCTTCCAAGATTAATGAAAGTTGTCTTTAACAATGTTTGACAACATGAGTCAAACATTTTTCTGTATGATGATTTAGGGACTTTTCAAGAACTTACCTGAACATACTGAGAACAACCAAAAGAACAGTGATGTGAAGACATGCTGAAGGTTCATATTTTGATATTTCCCTGTAGAGCACAAACACACATTTTTCATTGTAATGCATAATCTGATGCAAACAGTTGTTTTAAAAAGTGTTAGCTTTACTATAAATCAGCCAAACTTAGCCTGACTGTACAGTTTGCTTTAAATTTTACTTAAAATTACATTAAACTGTAAAAAGTGATTGAACCATTGAGCATTACAGGGTGATATTAATTTAGGAGCATCATAATAATATCTTCTTACCTGTACTATCAAAACCGTCTGAGCTTCTGCTGCGACCTGTCCTCTCCTCATACCTTTATACTGTAACTGTATCCCCGCATAAATCTTTTGTTGAATTTATCTTTTTATCTTGCGGAACTTTGTGCTACAACAATGAAGCTGACCTATTACAGAACAAAGCTGCCATGTTGTCCATCTCAAAGTTCCAGGTTTCCTCTCGTACAAAGAGTACTGAGGCTGGAAACACATATCCTCTTTCATCATCCTCACCAATTTATGTGAAAAATAAAAGGTCAGAATCCTGATGATTGGAACATATTACATAATTTGAATTTGCTGTAGGATTGCAGATGTTATGTCAAAAGCAACATAAATTAAAATTTAAAAAAATCTTAATTTTAATTCCAAATTTGAACTCCAAATCTGAGGCCATGGTCTGGAAAAGGGTGGATTGTTCTCTTCAGGTCAAGGGCAAGGTTCTGCCTCAAGTGGAGGATTCAAGTATCTCTGAGTTTTGTTCACGAGTGAGGGAAGAATGGAGCGTGAGATTGACAGAATGATTGGTGCAGCGTCTGCAGTATTGCGGACTCTGTACTGGTCCATTGTGGTGAAGAGGGAGCTGAGCTGTAAGGCAAAGCTCTCTGTTTACCGGTCGGTCTACATTCCTACCCTCACCTATGGTCATGAGCTCTGGGTAGTGACCAAAAGAATGAGATTGTGGATACAGGAGGCTGAAATGAGTTTCCTCCGCAGGATAGCTGGACTCTCCCTTAGAGTCAGAATCTGATTGTGGTGCTGCTCCACCAGCTGATGATCCACACCTGTGTCCAAAACTTTTTAAATTAACTGTAGTTTATAAAGATTCTTCCACTGAGCTGACTTCTTCAGATTAACAAATTCAGCTTTATTGACAATTTATTAATTTTCAGCAAGATGAAAATGAATCTATTCCGTGACTGGTCTTTGCGTGTGTACTCCCTGTATATCTGTGTAACCTGTCCTGAAAATAGGACCTTGCAAGTAAATACAGATTAAAAATATTATCCTGCTGAGTAAGGCTCCTTTTGATTAAGGAAGATAAAGCAAGAACATTTTTCTCCCAACAGCCACCATCATGTTGTGTTGTGGATATGATCTTCTTTTGGTAGACCAAAAGACCAAAACTGCAGACCAGGAAGTGGGAATGATTAGTGAGGGTGAAGTCCAGAAATCTCTCAGAAGAATGAAGAAGGGGAATGCTTTAGGACCTGATGACATACCAGTGGAGTTTGGAAATGTCTTGGAGAAATGGCAGTGAGGTTTCTGACTCCAATATTCAATGGCATATATGAGGGTGAAAAAATGCCAACTTCGCTGTACCCTGGGAAACAGTCTTCAAGGGCCCCATCATCACTGTGGGATTCCTAGTTTTCTTTCTACCTCTGCCTCCTCCCTACGCAGTCAACAAGCACCTAATGGATCATACCTGCACCTGATTCCAGACCAGTACCTGCTGCACTATTTAAACCTGTGCCAGACGTTCAATTAACACTTGAGCATTGATTGCCTTTGGTAAATCAGGGAAAGCCTTCACGTGTAATTTGGTGAATTTTGACTAACCATGTGGTTCTCTGTCCGTCTGCCAGTTCTGCCTCGTCCTGTTCCCTCGGCTCCCTCCTGGCTCCTTGGCTGCTTCTGGTCCTCCGAACCTGCACACCGGCATTACCCACTCAAGGCCCAACACTGGACTCCTCCATCCGACACCATCTGCAACCGAACCAACCGTAAGGAAGGATTTCTCAAACAGAATAATTATTCACTGGACCATCTCTTTGGAGTCAATTACTCATCCTATCTCCTGCTTCCCTCCGCAGCCCAGCCACCAGTTTTCCTGCACTGTAAATAAATATCACTTTTTGTTTTACCTGAGTTCAACTGTCCCCCTCTTACAATGCTGTGATTGCTAGTATCACTCAGCCCTCTGTGAATAGTAAACAGCCATCAGTGTGCTAATGACCCATTGTTAGGCTGATGGTCCTTCTTGAGCATGTGATCAGCTGGTTTTGGTTGTCAGCAGCAAACTGGTTGATCCACTCTAAGAAGGTGCTATTTAAGAGACTGAGCTGAAAACAGCACCTCAGACTGAGGAAGTCTCTTGGATGAGAGACGAAACGTTTCTAGATTTCTTTTGCTTTGTTTTGCTTTTGTTTTTTTGAATGTCCAGAGGACCAGATTGAACTTTTTTGGATTTTTCTACCTGGATTATTGAGCATGCATCAGGATGTTTTGCCTGAGTCTCGAGTCTGTTCAGTCTGCCATTTTGGGGTCATTAATACTTAGAATCACGACTCCAGAATCACCATAATCTGGGAAAATACAGAATAAATTATCTTAATATACAGTAAATATACCTAAAATTCTAACTATCAAGTGTATTTTTATGTATAACAATCTAACTGCTCATAGAACTATAAATGCTACTATGTCCTCTTGTTGACACAAATCATCAAGACTGAGTTAAGTTGAGTGCACTTTGAACACCATGTGTACTTGTTTAGCAACGTGTTGGCCCTTGGAGTCAGGCACATTTGTAATGTGGGATGGGGATGATACACTGAAAGGGTGTTTCGTTCTCCCCCAGAAAATTTTGAATAAAGTAGATGCCATTTCCTGCATTCTGGTGTATTTTAACGGATGTTTAACATCTAGTTTTACCTACACAAGTAAACACTTGATTCAACAACTATTTTACCGTTAAAGGCAACAACAAGAAATAACCTGACCAACAACTGATTCAATTAATTAAAAATATTATTTTTTAAAGGTGACGATTTGATACCCACATTACAATTAAATGACTGTAACTTAGTTGACTTCAAATGCAATAAGATTATCAATGAATGTTTGCGACAAAGGATTTACTGATTATAACAAAGATTCCTTCAAGAAACCTCCCAGTATAAATCATAAACCCATAATGACTTCTGCTCATTCTAAATTTGTCGAATGGCCTAAATCTCCTAAAGTGAAGGAGAATCATTTAAAAACAATAAATAAGATATATCCTGTAGCCATGTTTCTTGAAAGAAGATTTAAATTTGATGTTGATTTGTGTGCCTTTTGTAAATCAGAAGACGAATCCCTCGAGCAATTTTTTATTCATGTCAAAACAAAGTGTTTGGTCAGACATCAGAAACTGGATTAATCTCAAACTCAACATTCCTTCTTTTGATGCTGATGACATTTTACTTTATGTGGATAACTTAAGCTCAGCTTTCTCTGATGCCATAAATATAGTCATACTTATAGCAAGTACCACATTCACTGTAGTAAGATGGATAATAAGCCCTCCTTCCTGTTTTATGAACAATTTTAAGTCATACTATTCTTCATTAAGTAGATTAAAAAACTGCAAAACTGCTAGAATCATCTCAAACTGATAAAAACTTAGTGTTTTAATTAAAACAAGTTTCTTATATAGTCACGGTCCTTTGTTGTTTATTTATTTAATTTTTTTATGTTAATGTTTTTTCTTTTTCATTATTTTGTGAAATGTAGTTATGACACCCTTCACGAGTTTGTATTTGTATATTGTTGCATTGTTCTGTTTTGTGTTGTTAATAAAGTCCTAAAAAAGAAAACCCTGATGGGTTTGTCAGCAGGTAAGGGGCGTTTACCTTCGGGACAAAATTAGGTCGTCGATTGGTCAGTTGCTGACACGCCTACTGGATTGATTGACAGGTCGCGCCGTGGAGGATCCGACTCAGTGCAAAAAGAAAAAAAATTGAGAACTGCAGCAACCAGCGCTGGGAGGAGGTGGAGCGGCCCAAATGCAGCAGAAGAGCAGCTGTGCAGTGCAGGGCTCCAAGTAAAGCAGGAGATAACCAGATATTTTGCTTGTGCCCTCACTGCCCTGGACCCCTTATAGATTGTGGGCCCCTGGGCACTTGCCCAGTTGCCCATATGGTTAATCCAGCCTTGATCCCAAGGGAGGGTGCCGAGTATTGCATGAGGAAATCTGGGTAGTTAGACTGTTACAGGACATGTATGAGGACAGCAGGACAGTGGTGAGGTGTGCTGTAGGAGTGACAAATAGCTTCAAGGTGGAGGTGGGATTGCATCAAGGATCGGCTCTGAGCTGCTTTTTGTTTGGTCTGGTGATGGACCGACTAACAGATGAGGTCAGGCAGGAATCTCCATGGACTTCGATGTTTGTAGATGACATTGTGATCAGTGGTGAGAACAGGCAACAGGTGGAAGAGAACTTGGAGAGGTATGCACTTGTAAGAAGAAGAACGAAAGTCAGCTGTAGTAAGACAGACTACATGTGCGTGAATGAGAGAGAGAGGCCAGTGGAACAGTGAGGCTACAAGGAGCAGAGGTCACAAAGGTGCATGACTTCAAGGACTTGAGATCCACTGTCCAGGAAAATGGGGAGTGTGGTAAAAAGATAAAAAAAAGAGAGTCCAGGCAGGATGGAGTGGACAGAAAAAAGTTTCTGGTGTGATTTGCGACAAAAGGGTGTCAGCAAAGGTCAAAGAAAAAGTTTACAAGACAGTTGTGAGACCAGCCATGTTGTATGGTCTGGAGATAGTGGCATTGACAAAAAGACAGGAGAAAAAACTGAAAGTGGCAGAAATGAAGATGCTGAGGTTCTCCTTAGGAGTGACAAGGATGGATAAGATTAGGAATGAGATCATCAGTGGTACAACACAGGTTGAACAACTGGGAGAGCAAGTTAGAGAAGCCAGACTGAGAAGGTTTGGACATGTCCAGGGGAGGGACAGTGGGTATATTGGTGGAAGGATGTTAGAAATACAG